GATCTTCGTAGAATATGTAGGAGCCAATATGGGCATCCAGGTCCCGCTATTGGTTATTGACCGGAGACGTGTCTCAGTCATGTCTACATTGTTCTCGAACCCGTAGGGTCCGCACGCTTAAGGTTTCGATGACAGTTATATTATGAGTTTATGAGTTTTGATGTACCGAAGGAGTTCGGAGTCCCGGATGTGATCACGGACATGACGAGGAGTCTTGAAATGGCCGAGACATAAAGATTGATATATTGGAAGCCTATGTTTGGATATCGGAAGTGTTCCGGGTGAAATCGGGATTTTACCGGAGTACCGGGAGGTTACCGGAACCCCCCCGGGAGCTATATGGGCCATGATGGGCCTTAGTGAAAAAGAGAAGAGGCAGCCCCTCATGGGCCGCGCGCCCCTCCCCTCCCTTGGTCCGAATAGGACAAGGAGAGGGGGCCGGCCCCTCTCCTGGCGCGCCCTCCTTGGCCGGCCAGCCTCCCCCCTTTAGTCCTTTATATACTGAGGCAGGGGCACCCCAGAAACACACAAGTTGATCCACGTGATCTTTTCCTTAGCCGTGTGCGGCGCCCCCAGCCACCATAGTCCTCGATAATATTGTAGCGGAGTTTAGGCGAAGCCCTGCTGCAGTAGTACATCAAGATCGTCACCACGCCGTCGTGCTGACGGAACTCTTCCCCGACACTTTGCTGGATCGGAGTCCGGGGATCGTCATCGAGTTGAACGTGTGCTAAAACTCGGAGGTGCCGTAGTTTCGGTGCTTGATCGGTCGGGCCGTGAAGACGTACGACTACATCAACCAAACGCTTCCGTTGTCGATCTACTAGGTATGTAGATCACACTCCCCCCCTCGTTGCTATACATCACATGATCTTGCGTGTGCATAGGAAAATTTTTGAATTTACTACGTTCCCCAACACCAGGGGCATGGTGAGCGCGGCCGGCGCGGAGCTACAGCAGACAGCGGCAGTAGCAGCGCCAGCAGCTGCTGCGTTGCAGCACTGGGCAGCGACGGTTGGGCGCGCGGGGCTGCCGATGCAGAGGGCAGGAGGAGAGGCCGGAGGAGGCCACAGTGACGGACGCGTGCGGAGGAGCTCGTCGGGGCGGTCGGGAGCGGCAACGTGAGATAGAGAGGGGAAAAGGGAGGAAGCTCACGATGGGGCGCAGGGACTAAGGAAGCTGCGTGAGGAGGAGGACGGGGACGACTGTGACGTGGAGGAGGCAGACCAGCGGGGAGGCGGAAGCAGGCCAGCGAGGTCCAGGCGACGCGGCGGTGTCCATGGCGTCTGCGGCCTTCGGGCGTGATCTTGAGCGAGGGGAAAGGCGAGGGAGAGACGACGGGACGGCGCCGACGGGGTCCGACGAGCCCTTGGCGACGGGGGACGACGGGGTTGGCGTCGAAGGGGCTCGGGACTGCTCCCTCG